AATTTTTTGTTTGTTTTTTGGGTATATATATCAGTTGAAAGATTAATAAGCAACTAAACCATAAAATCAGGTAAATCTATATGGTTTGGTTTTCATTCAGTTCAGGTTATCAATGTAGATTCGAGATTAGAGTATTTACAATCAAGAAAAACACAAAATATAAAATGCATGCGTAAGCTCGAATAAGCGTGGGTAAATACGTAGACTGTGCAAGAGAATGACAAATGGAGAAGACGATTCTTAGCTCCAGATTTCAACGTTGTTGACAGTCTTCGAGAGCTGTGTTGTGTCTTGAAGAGAGAAACAAAGAGGAAAACGTCATTTCCCCACGTTGTCCCACTCTTACATTCCTTTTTTATTTTTTCCTAAGTAAATAATATCGTAAGGCATAAGCTCGTGAATCGTGACACAAGTGTTTAATTTTGTTCGTGTTAAACTTACAAGAGACTTATTACTAAAAAAATATGTTCATATTCGGAATTGTTAAACGCCTCAGTTAAATCTGGATCAACTGTTTATTGAACTTGTTAACTTACACATACAAGTGTCTCCTTTATGTTTTCAGAAATCTTCTATCAAAACTTATGAATTCTTTCTAATACTGTGCACCAAATTCATTAGGGGATTATAACGGCGTTCTTTACCCAATTCTTACTTTCGTATCATATATTATTTCTATCTATCATCAAATCATTGTAACATTAATTTGCGCATGTTTATTTGTATTTTAAAAAAAAATCAATTAAGACAATAAGACCTTTTTGGACAAAAGACATCAAATAGAGGTGAAAATATAATAATTTTTTTCCTTGCGACTCATCAAGCTTTTAATGCATCTTTGAAAACTACACATATTAAGAGAATGACGAAGAGGAAAGAGTATACATATATAAGGGGAGGGTAGCATTGTAATTAGGGAAAAGGAAAAGAGTGAGTACAAATTTAGCATTTAATGCATCTTTGTTCGTATTTTCTGCTACCTTCTCACATTAATTCCTTCTTCTGCTCCTCAGATTCCCACTCATTAAATAAATAATATATCTGTTTTTTCTTTTTTGCACCTAGTTAATTTGTTTTATGTCTTGGGCAAGAAAAGACTTGGAAAAATTCTCATAGTAAAAAGAAAACTACTATAAGGGAAACATTCAAAGGTCTACTGATTAGACTCTAGTCATCACTTTTTACTGTTTTTTTACCATGTCCTCTAAAAATCTCCATCACTCTTTTCATCTTTTATTTGTCTCCTTTATTACATATGCATACATTATATAAGTATATATATATATTACTATATAACAATTATACAAGCTTAAACCGCAAATGGATGAACTGTCAAAATGTAGCATCATTGGTCCAATGATTCCAACGATTGGCACAAACGGGCTAAAAAGGCTTTTATTTCTATATTTCCTTAATTAGGCCTACTATTATGGGCCAACCCCCAAAAAGTCAAACTCAATTTAAAGATGCGTTGCTGCCTGGTGACACTACAAACGTATCGTTAATATGTCAACAATCGACCATTTGTGGGATTAGATCGATCGGACTGATGTAATATGTCTTTTTATTTGAGTGATGCATATATTTTCTTCGACGTGTAAAACATTTCCAACAGAGAATGGTTATTCGGTGTGCTCGACCGATTAAAAAGGTCGAGCCGCATCCATAACGAGCAGAAGCAGTTAAGTAACGCAAGATTGTTGGCCACTAGAGAGTTTCACGTGATTGAGAATTTTAATCTTAAAACTTTTTTATTGATGAAAGCATTTAAAGTATAAACTAAGCAAATGCTATTATCATCGAATATAATTTGTTTTTAGGACGGTGGACGGTGGTGAAATAAATGTCTCTTCCTTATTGGATTGGCATCTTTTCATGGACCCTCCTTGAACAAGCTGGATCATGTTAATTTGCATATGTTTTTGCGTGTGTATATATCGGTAAGTTTAAATTCGATCGTTTCTTAATCTCTCTTGCATGAAATGGAGCTCCCTCAATATTTTCGTGTGACAGTTTTGAGTTATTTTAGGCAGTGTATTGCAAATTAACAGCAAAAGCATTACATGTATATATGTTCTTTTAACTTGTTTTTTTGGTAATTTTTTTAAAAAAATTGAAATACAACTTTTTGTCAAACTAAGCAAAAAATTTCTAATATATTTTGAAAATCTTTAGATGTGCCTTTAAATAGATAGATATAAGTTTAATCAGTATATTGTTCGCTTAAATTTATCTAAATTAAATGAATCAAAACATTGTAAAAAACCTGAACGAAAAACCATATATGAAAAGAAATTTTTTATATTCGAAATATTTGCAATAATCATTATTCCTATAAATTAAAAAAAAAATGTGTGTACAATGTTACATTTAAAAAAAAGCTGAATAAAAGCCGTACATAAAAAACTCGAGCTGAACTTGATTTCTTAATTTTTTTTCCAAACATAACCCATTAATTTCGATATCGAAAAATGAATGAAAAAGAAGTAAAGAATCATCTTCTCTTACGCCTCTTATCAACAACGGGTATAATTAAAGGGAACCTCGACACGTGCTGACATCTGTCAGACGCAGTATTCAGTCACAACCACAAATTATAGGCCACGTCACCTTCTTGTCAACTTGGCTCTCTGGATGGTGCCAAATGGCATTAAATCAATGGTTGATTTTGACAACTTTGATTGCTACTTGTCTGAATTACAATGTATACCAAAATATTATCTCCTTGTAAATTCATTCTCTTCAAACTTTTTTCATGAAATATTTTTTTGTAGGTTTAATTTTAAAGCGGATTAATAGATAACTTATACTTTTGTTGGCGTTTTATAGTCTAAGAGATACAAAAAAGATGTGCACTGGACCGATAAAGCGACCACAAGAATTCACAATTGGCTGGATTTTATTTGTTGTTAGTTAAATCCAAAGAGATTATCAAGAAACAAGGTGAAACGGAAGCTTAAGCTAATCATTATAAAAGTTGATTTATCATTGATAAAAGTTGATTTGATCATAAATCCAATGGTCGAGAACTTGTTTTAGCAAAGAAAACCCCAAAACAGCATGGAAAATGAAGGTGATTAAAAAGTAAGGAAAAAATATTTAATTAGGCAATTAAAAAAAAAATCTACGAATATGTTTTTTTCCGGATCATCGATACATAAAATAGATATTATACCTTTTTAGAAGAAAACCTGAAAAAGCCATGCTAAATAGAAAATAAAAGTGGGGGCAAAAAAAATTATTCAGAAATCAAAAGGATCTTATAAGATCATTATACTTTTTGAATAAATTAGTTTTTTTTTTAATTACAAAAGTCAAAAACTCTCATAATTGGGGTTGCTTTTCAAATTTGCATGGAAGCCGATATCCTTTATCTTTACTCGTGATCATGTGTTTCTTTTCCGTGTAGTGGAAGTAAACGCGTAAAACGTCGTGTAAACTAAATAACTAAACTAGTACTAGTATATATGCATTTTTCGATTAAAAAAAGTGCTATGTGTATCGTGTTTTTTTTAAAATTATATAAAGTTGAAGAGATTATCTTGTTTTGGATCTAAATTCAAAATCTGAACAATGATGTATAACTTACCGCATACAATCATGAAAGTAACCATGATTAATTTTTTGGGATTGGCGAGATGATCAAGATTAGACTAATAATAATCTAATGAAAAGCTACGTTAAAACGTGTTTCACGTAATTGACTTCCAAAGGGTGTGGTGTATGAGTGAGGACAAATGAATTGTTTGTGATGTATTAATGTAACACCCGTCGTACATCCTGATATGTGAACGTGAAATCTCGTAAACAAAATCAAATATAATTATTGCTTATACTATATACAGATATACTATTTGTTCTCTCTCTATATATATTTCTTTCGTAATATTTTTTAATCAATATTATCTTGACTCAGAAAGTATCGCAAAGCCTTGCTGTCATATGTCAAATAATGATATATGTATTTTGTGCATGTTTGAACACTTGTACAAATTATATAGAAAAACTACATTTTCTTTATATATTTGTTAATATATTAGACTTTATAATAAATAAACTACAAAGGTAATACATAGCAGAACACGGGACACAACGAATTGAGCATTTATATCACTTCAGTGTATACAGTAATCAATTTTTAACTGTTTTTTTTTCATGAATGATTGAAATAATATTTTTGAAAAACAAATACAAAATTAAAAATAAATCTAAGGAAAATGCCAAAAAAAAACACGAGGACTGTTAAGTTTGAATAATTTTGGATACATGCACTAAGAGCACCTCCATCGGCAGTTGTTAAGGGTTTTTTAAAGAGTTTTTTAAGTTAAAAAATTAATAAAAAAATCATTAATGTGTTAAATTGATAAGAGTCGATTGTTAACTTAGAGATTTAAGAATTGTTTAAAAATCTATGTGTGTCAGTCCGTGATTGGTCGTGTGTTAGACACGAACTGATCACTTTTTATATTGTCTTCTTTTATATTTTTGAAATATAATTGTTTATTCTTAAAAGACCCTATTAAGAGTTCTGCTAATGGAGGATAAAAAAACTAAAATTTATTACAAAGATTCTTAAAATAAAATAATATAAAATTTATATTAAAAAATTAGTTAAAAACCCATTAGGGGTTTAACCAATAGAGATGGTCTAACAAACCATATAGTTTCCATAAATTAGGTAATTGATATTGCTTACTTCTTTTACAAAAATAACCTTATTGCTTTCTTTTACAATTTGATAGTAGCTAGTTTTTTTATTGACCAGATAATATTAATTCTGAAAACTAAAAATAAAATAGTTGACAAATATTATCAATAGCTGATTAGTTCACATCGAAATGAATTACGACTTAAACTGAAAGAGACTTGAGCCAATTCGTGTCGAGCCACAAACTTTGGAGCTATATGTTAACCTTATAGTTCCACAATACTTGCAGGTCCGTAAAATGATTATTATCTTTGATTGAATAATGAAATTTCCATCCATCACCCCCACACAAAAAAAAAAAAAAATACTAGGCCCTAGCACACACAGTAGCTCCAACATATATATAAAGAGTCCAATATCAGCAACACAGAGATTCCAGGAAAACACAAACAAAAGAAAAATCCAAAATCTTCTCTCCTTGTCGAAAACCAAGAAACTTCCAAGATCTGGTGAAAACCATGGAAGAAGAAGACTTTTTCAATTGCTACTTCAGCCGGAATAATAGTGGCATAACCATGAATAAGAAGAAGATGAAGAAGAGCAATAATCAGAAGAGGTTTAGTGAGGAACAGATCAAGTCACTTGAGGTTATATTCGAGTCCGAAACGAGGCTCGAGCCAAGGAGGAAGGTGCAGTTAGCTCGAGAGCTAGGGCTGCAACCAAGACAAGTAGCTATATGGTTCCAGAACAAGAGGGCTCGTTGGAAATCTAAGCAGCTTGAGAAAGAGTATAACATTCTTAGAGCCAATTACAATAATTTGGCTTCACAATTTGAAATCACGAAGAAAGAAAAGCAAGCTCTGGTCTCTGAGGTACGTAATTATGTTGATATCTTTAACTTTAACCCTTTAACTAATAAAAAATCAAAAATGATCAAATTGATCTAATAATATTTTAGTATGTTTTTTCTGTTGAGTTGAGTACTTATAAATAAAAAACTATATTCTGAATTCAAAATAAAGCATAAGTATAAACAAGCCAATACAATAGTGGGGAAAAAGTACTCAATCATTTTGCCTAATTTTAATTTGGTTGTTCGGACTATTTATATTTTCACATATTTTTTAGTTCACAATTAATATCATAAAGTTTCTTAGTAGGGGTTATTGGTTCTGGAATTTTGGTGGATTTATAAATCTTCTTTGGATTTGATAAATTTATTGATTTCAAAATCAGCAAAATAGAAAAAATCAAATCCACTCAAATACCAAGGTTAGACTTTGTATTTGGATCTTTGTATTTTAGTCATGAAAACCTTTCTAAATCTATTAAAATTCAATTAAAACTCAAATTCTTATAATATTTAGATTCTAAAATAATAGAACCAATAACACTGTATTTTATTATGGATTTTAAAATCATATAACCAATAACACTGTATTTCAATATAAATTTTAAAATACAAGAACCAATAACACTAAATTTGGTTTGTATTCTCAAATCCATTAAAGTTTTTTGCTTTAGACTTTTTTTTTCCTTCAACAATTTTTGCATATTTTAAAAAAAAACATCTACAATATAAAATGGTCGGAAAATCAATATATCAAAGGGTTGATATAATGTTTCGGGGGAAGATCAGGATGACAAAAGTATCGATAAATACTAAAGATTAGTAGATTGTAGAAGCAAAGAATAGATGTCTGATGAATTTGGTCTCTACTTAATCAGTATTTGCAGTTGCAGAGACTAAATGAAGAGATGCAAAAGTCTAAAGAAGAAAGGCATCATCATGAGTGTTATGGTGAACAAGGAGTGGCTCTAAGCAGCAGTACAGAGCCAGATAATGGAAAGTGTGAGCTAGAAGTTAGGCTAAATCAAGGGATTGTTCTGTGTGATGACGACATTAAGACAGAGCACTTTAGATATGAGGAGGGGACAAATCATGAGCTCATGAACATTGTGGAGCAAGCTGAGGGTAGTTGTTTGACTTCATCTGATAATTGGGGAGGTTTCACTTCTGATTCTCTCTTAGACCAATCTAGCAGCACTTACCCTTGGTGGGATTTTTGGTCATAAAAAGATTACATGAATGAAGAGAAAGAGTGTGTATATTTTTGTAAATTGTGTGTTAGGAAAAAATAAAATCTCATGTTATGTATACGGTATGTCATAGTTGATTTTAGTACTCTCATTGTAACTAAGCAAAAACAGAGAAGTTTAGCCACAAATAGAAACGATATCGTTCTTGAAGTATTTCTCATTCAGCTCCATGTTCTTAAGCTACAAGAGTGCTGGCTGTAGAGTGTAGACTCCCTGCAAGCGTCAGGACCGATCAGAATATACACATTAAATCGCCAAAAAAAAGAAAATCCTAAAAAGCAACTATCAAATTGAGCCCGTAACTTGGTAATCTTTTCCTACTGATAAATTTAGTTAATCTCACCAAACGATCACCAAGGATTTGCAAGTCAATGACTGAAAAACGAGCGTCTCCAGAATTACATCACTTTTACTAAACACGTACTAAAAGGCCCATGATTCAAAAATATTACAAAAACCATCATGTGCCATTTTATAGGCCCATTATAGAAAAATTGAGGCCATAAATGGAGGTATTTGAAGCCCATGTATAAACCCCTATTTAAACGGCGCCGTGCATTGGAGCGACGATAAGTTAGAAACCGAAGCTTATGTAGTACGGTACCATCATATTGATCACTTCTATGACTTTTTTTTTTATCTTCGAATCAATTCGAAATCTTGAACCACTACGTATATTGGATAAGTAAGTGGGTATCACTGTCAAAGTCTAAACTTACACATTTTGACGTGACTAGACCTTTAAATTTTACTCTCAATAGAAATAAACCTTTACTGAATGAGAATATATTTGTGTGCTTTGTACACAAATATCTGTGGTGTGGATAAAAAAATACCCTAAACTGACATCAAAACAAATCTTATCGATACAAAAATACCACAAGCTCTAATATGTTATATGTAATATTAAACAACACAAATAGGTTCTTGGAAAATCACGTAGACTTATAAGCAAGTGGTGCCTATGGTACTATTAGTTTGATATTAAAAAAAGTTCAATTGGTTAAATTTCATTTTTAATTGTCTGAACTTTTGAGTGCCACTGGGACTGGGACGTTAAAGTATTAGGACTTAGGAGTGGAAGAAAGCTGCAGATTCGTTCTTTTGGTTTTAGTTTACTAATAACTTAAATATAATTTTTTTTAAAAACATTTATTCTCGTTTCCATTAAAAAAAATATATATATATAAACAGGCTCCAATAAATCTTACCTACTCTTTCTAAATAAATCTTTTGTTTGCACTTTTCTTTCTAGTAGATAGATCATCTTACCGTGGTTGGTAAATTTCGAGTTGCAATTGGAAAGGTCAACTTTCTCCGGTTGCCTCAAGAGACTGACGGTGACGGACCAGTTCATTTATCTTATAAAGGTCAACCACAGTCAACAATTTGAAGAACCTCTGATCCATTAGAAGCTGGTACGATTTTAATAATAATAGATCAACATTATTCTTTCAAATTTGTACGAAATATTAAAAAACTTTTAAGTTAATATCGTGATAATACTGAAAATATATATCCTAACTAAAATTTATACATATATGAAGCTGGAGATACTATTCGAAAAGGGATAAATTGAAGAAAACTGCTCAAAACATATTTCATCATTTATTACAAAAGTTTAGGTGGACATTTATTTATTATTTGTTTCATCAAGTCAAACTTTACATCATAATAGTGGCGACAAACGATTTAATGTGATCCATAAACATCTGAACAAGTGTAAAATTCTGTATATTCTCTCGTAATATATATATAGTTTTTTTTTTGCAATTATTACATAATCTTTTTCAGTTTTGACCAACTATCACAAAAACATTGATTTGGAATGATTTGAATTTTTGTGAATAAGACTGCATAGACCATAGAGCATCGAATCCATTTATCATTCAAGCTAAGCAAAAGTGGGTTAGGCCATCGAATATAAAATTAAATAATGTGATTAAATTAAGGATTTTTTGTATCGTCCGTAAGGAATACATTTATGTATTAACATTGAGACTAAAAAGAAAAAAAAAAATATTTATGTATTCTGAATTCTCTAACTTTTTATTCTTTTTCATTCGTCATTTTCATTCATGCATGTTTTCGACTGTTTTGGAAACTTGGATATTATGACTTGTGAAGACAACGGTTGTTCCAAGTTTATTCTGCATGCATTTTGTATTTTGTACGGTACGCGTGTGTTTCAATTATAGGTTGTGCACCCTTTTTTTTTTGAACAGACGGTTATATAAACTTATAAATAAATGTATCTTATGGTCTTCTGGGAATACATGCACACTAAATCTATGATATGCTACAAAATATATTCCCACCTATATGTATACGTATAATATGATGAGTAATGGATAACGCTAAAAAAGATCTGTGTTGGCTAGCTGACTAATATTTTCCCATAATAGGTGATGAAGTTAACGATGGTTAATTATTGTCAAAACTTAGTGACGTATTTTGAAAATTTTCAACCGGTCTCGTTTTATATATCTTACATACGCATATCTTTCCATACGCATATTAACGTTTACATATAATTTATATCATTGTAGTTTACGGTAGATTCATATGCGATTCAAGATTTGAGTGGGCGGTATTAATTGTAGAAAACCAAAAATATTGTGATCAACGTAATTATTGATGGATAACCAAAAAATTACACGGTTTTAGACTACCGAAACATTTTTTTAACAGTTAGATATTTTCCATTTAAAACGATAACATATATTACGAACAAAACATATTGTATATGCTAAATTAATATAAAAATTATAATACTTATGGTTGATCAAATTGGTCTTTTGGTCGAAAATAATAAAAACAAATCAAGAGACATTCGATATATCTAAGATTAATATTCCTACATGTTTCTTTATGTTTGAAAAACAAATATTCCCCCACAAATCGAGCAAATCAATTGGCATTAATCTATGCAAAAGATTAGCCAGCGACTTCCTAAAGTACAAGGATGCTGTGTACCTAGCTACGACAGTCCACTAAGTTCCATATTAAATATATATAACAACAAAAGCTAGTTACCCTTTGAAATGCATAGTTTATTGTTTATATAGTTTAATTTCTTACTAATCACATGATTATGTAATCATATCACCAAAAGATTAAGGAATCCGTGCAATATTTGGTTGCTGATTTTGTCACATATTGTAAAAGTATATCGCTTTAGACAAATTTGTTAATTATATAGCTAACCCCCACCAACACCAAATGAACTATTGTATTGCTTCTGCTGCATCTTTTCTGCTATCTCATGGGTCAATTAGAATACGAATTATGATATTTCTAGAAAAATAGTAGTCGTTCTGTAATCATCGTTTTTATAGTTTGTTGACAAAAGAATAATAATAATCTGATTATACTGAATGTATTCTACTAAATATACTTTTAATAAGTTCTAAATTACTAATAAATAATTAATATATGGAATTCGATATACGATATGAGTTCTTCCTATCATACCACAATATACTTTTTTTCTATCATACCACAATATTTTACAACTTCAAAATGGCGCCAATTTTTTTGGACTTTTAAGAGAGCCGTTGTAACATTTTTACACTCCAAATTATGAATGGTCTTGTCCAATGTACTATTTTTTGTTCAAATAATGTCGAAGTTGAAAGAGTGGATCATGCGCCGCGTTCCTCGTTCCTACTTCCTAGTAATAACATAGCGGATGTTTTTGGTTAATTAACGAATATATTTCGATTAATAGTAAAAAAAAAAAGAGGAAAGTGTGCTTGCCGACAAAAAAAAATACAAATTATTAGAGACCATACTGAATTCTGAAATACACTGCACACATATTTAATGTTTTCGATTTAGAATCATAACATATATTTCAATTAACTCCTTTTATCAATTAACTCTTGTTGAACTAGAGTGGTTACTAGTTAGTGTTGGCTATTATAAAGTAATAATTAAGTTACCTGTAATCTATCTTAACATGTTTGTGATTATTATAAATAATGGCAAACTTGCAAGTTGGAACTGAATAAATCATGGTCCATAGTGAAAATAAATTTAGACAGAAAAACATTTAACAACGATTTAGATTAATTTGCCCCTTTTAAAAGGGCAACGAATACACATTTATCATGTAACGTTAAGTTCTATCTATTGGGACGTGTCCCCCTAATAAATGGACTTATCATACTCATCAAATGACATTTTTCGGACAAATTAATGGACCTAATTGCAATAATGTCCTCTCGTTTTTAAACGTTCACTTTAAATTTAATTCTGGTCCATATGTTTCCATATTTGTTAATGGTAATTAGTTATATGGAATGGCCAAGATTTGGCTAGTGGAAATTATCTAATGACATGTCTCTCAGTATTTTCTTATGAATGGGTGTTATTCGGTGGGACGTTGCAATCTGCATCTTTATTTGTTGACGCAATTCATCTCTTTCTAGTCTTTGGTCCTCACCGTACGAGTACATATTAATTTCTTTTTGACTAGTTTTTCATTTAATTGTTCGGTCAAATATTACTATCCCTTAATTTTGTTCCGACATATAAAATGTTTCCAAAGGTTTTGTTTATTTCATTTTATTTGATTTTTTTCTAAAAATAATTAAACTTGCCTTTTGTGATTATTTATTTCATGCAGTTTATTTTTTATTATTTGATTTATGTTTGATTAGATATTAAACAATATTTTTTAGTTTTAAAAAAAAATAGTTTGAAATATACATTATTTTAAATTTTCGTATTTGATATAAAAAAAATTATACAATGAAACAGAAGAAGATGTGAAATTTTAGATGTTGATGATGCAACTTACTTCTCTTATAAATTATACAATCGAACATTACTTATAAGAAATTGTACTTACCCAATTAATTACATCCATATTGTTAGCTGAAAGATGCCATGATTTTTTAGTCGAACACATCTCAAAAGTTCAGTATACATATTTTTAAAAAATTGTATTTATAATTAACAATTATTCCATGTCAAATACCATTTTTGGTTTTGAATGGTGTTTGATTTTATAGTAAATTTTGGATTTTATTTCTCTAAATAACATGCAGATTAAGTGTGTACTTCTATGTCATTATTAAAAGAAAAAAGTTTGAGCCGGCAAAGGAAAAAAAGTTTGAGCCGGATAAATATATTTTTGATCGTTCTTAAATTAGACAAATAGATGAACACAAACATTAGTAGCTGTAAATTAGATCAACGGTTAGGCACCTCTCATACTTCAATCAGACAACACTGACCGTTGATATAAGGCATTGACAAGTACTTAACAGTTTAACAGCGAGCCAATTTGGGGGGACCAGATGAAACACGAGTCATGTGAGTTGTCTTGAATGATAAAGACAACAATATCCTTCTTTCAGTTGTTCGTGCATTCTATAGATTTTGGGCTATTTGGTAATATATAGTCTCCAGCATTTCTATATTAACCCAGCAACATCGACAATCAAGCTGTGGGGGACGTTTTGCATGAACCTCAACACGTTGATTTATAAAAGGTTCGTGATTGTCGGAATTAAAAGATCTAACGGCTAAAATTTAGGAGATGCAGTTATGTGCGCTGCACCACGCCACATAATACCACAACCGACAATGAATGTATACCTTTGTGACCGAAAATAATGTTTCACACTCGCACAAAGTCAATTTGTGTCTTAAGCTTACGGCCTTACCTAAAGGTCAATACATGGTTCTTTTTTTAATGATTAAACATAGGAGTATTTATTTGTTAATTCTGTGTTAACCATTTGTTTTTGTTTGCCGTTTATGAAGCATTTAATCAAATCGCAATTTGCTTAAATTATTATATGCATGCAAATAACATAATTGTTTGGATTTTTTTTTATTCACAAGTTTAAGCTATCTATTTATATCATCATAAGAATGTTCGTTCACAAACTATTTGATTTGGAATAATCACATCTCGCGTTTGAATAAATATCGCATTTTAGTTTTTACTCATTTTTAGTATAATAGATGAAATTTATGTTATCAATTTGAACTTCAGGTCTAACGTCGGTAACATTAGTTCGAAAAATGATACTTGGATTTTATTATTATTTTATAAATATATTATTTTTATCGGAAATATGATAATTTATTGGAGTATTGTTAAAGATAATTTATTGGAGTATTAGAGAGCTTGGTACTATTATATTTGTTTTAGTCCCAAAAAGTTTTATTTTGTTTTACAAAAGTATAAATTTGTGCTTTAAATACAAATTTGTTAATAAAAATCTAATTTTGATTTTGTTATATATTAATTATAAATAAAATTAATATATTTATAAGAGAAAGAATATTTTTTATTATTCATAAAAATAGTAAACAACACTATATATATATATATATAAAACAGAGAAAATATCAATTGTTGTCTCCTTGATAAGTCTACGCTAAATTTAGATTATAGGCATTAATCTGTTTCAAATGATTAGAGAATAATTTAGTCGTTTTAAAATGTTGTTATTTTATAAATCCTAAATATAATAATAAAATAGTATAAAAGGACAGGTGGGGAGTGGGGACAAACCATAGTTCAAGTTCTTGATTGCCCCCCACGTCTTCGATGAATAGATATAGGTAGAAAGTCTCAGCAAGTTAGTCTACTAAAATAAACTAATAAAACTATAAATAATCTAAACTCTTGGGAAAATATAATTAATGCAAACTAAGTATATATATAGAGCAGTTAAATTAGGATTTAGTTATTTTCAACTGGATCATAGTCTATATATAAGTAACTAATATTCAAATTACGCATAGATTATTATAACGTTATATGCTTAGTATCTTCTACAAATTCTCTGATTAGTTGACTTCTATGATTTTATATAGAGCAGTAGTAACACAAGCATTATATATATAACACTAAACGAAAGAGCTCTTCAATGATGACGTCATGCGAAGGATCATAAATTACGCGCGTAAACGTAACCAATTCAGTTCATGGCGGCGCTAAACCGTTAATTGGAATCTCAACGGTTATGATCTGTCTTATTATACATATATATGTATATTACGCTTATAGTGTTTCCTTTGGATGACAAAGTGTCAATATAATTTAACTAAGATGGACGAGAAAAAAAGATAAGTAAGATACATAATGAAAAGTTGAAAACAAAAGATATCCACACTCCGTATCACGGATGAAAAATTAAAATAATGCAGAAAAGCGTTACGATCATGGAATATGTCGTCTATGCATAAGGAAGATATTATTCTTAATTGCCCAAAACGCTTATTGCTACTAAATAGTAAATATCAATACTATATATATGTATGCTACTAAATAGTAAATATCAATACTATATATATATGCTGCAAGCGTGCAACAAACATATTATATGGTTTATTTTCCTTAAAAATAATTATTAAGTATCGATATCAAAAACTTGATGTCGTATGCATCGAATTTATATTTTATCTGCACCAATATGTTCGTCTTTTGATAGGTACCGTTTTTCCTTTATATTAAAGGCTGCTGCTACCAAAGGTAAAAGTAACCTAATGAATTCACAAGAGTGACTCTGCGAAGTTCCAACAGTTTTATTAACAAATACGATAGGTTAAATTCGTCGCTGAATGCATTACATTTACATCTTTTGATTTTACGTTTTTAACTTTGCTACTATTTTTTCAGTGTTCTTTTGAAATGAACATTCATTTTACAGTCAATTCCATTATATGAAAGAAAAACGGAACATACGTTATATTTTATAAAATGTTAAGTTTTGTAAGTGGTTTTAAATCTTAATCACTTTTAATTTTTGCACTTGTAAGCTTGATGTGTATTTGTCTAATAGATTGGTGAATAAAGAGCCTATTAATTCATTGTATTTAATCAACTTTTTTCATGTGGCTGAAATGTGTCGCTTTTTTAACAAAATATCTAACGATAAAATCTTGATTTGGCTTAAGTTTAATCAATAAAAACAATTATCAGTATCCACATAATTCATACGTAGAATTTGATACGTTTACCTTCAATAAATTTTGCATATATGTTCTTCTGTTCTGTTTTATAAAATATATTATCCCACCATTGTTTGTTTCCATCTGAAAAATGAATGAAATAGTAGCTCTTGGATTGAAAACACGTGAATACAAAAATCGTAGCCTTGTTAAAGTTTAAAATAGACAAGAATTACAAGCAAGCAAGCAAACGCAAACTTCCCCAATATATCAAGTAGAAAGTACAATACTAGCGATGGTAAAACAGAAAGAAGTACACATAATATCATATTATTAATTAGGTTACTATGAAATTATAAAACATTTCTCTTGGAATATAAATAATTAATTTTGTTGTAAAAAAAAAAAATTTAATTAATTTGATTTAATAAATTATAGTTTTTTGAAATAATCTTTAAGCACAAGAGGGACTTCTAATGTTTTTTCTATATAAATACCTGGAGGCGTTTCATCTTAAACCCCACAGCAAAAAGCCACTCTCCTCTCTCTCTCTCTCTCTCTCTCTAATTTTTGTTTCCTCTGCTTCCATGGCCACCAAGCTCGACACAAGCAGCTTACTTTTCGCTCTCTTGTCCAAATGCAGCCTCCTTACTCAAACCAATCTCGCTTTCTCTCTCCTCGTCGCCTCCCTCGCTTGTCTCGCTCTCTCTGTCTTTTACTGGTCTCATCCCGGAGGACCCGCCTGGGGAAAATACTTCCTACATCGTCGCCACCGAACCACCGTAATTCCCGGACCAAGAGGCTTACCTTTCGTCGGAAGCATGTCTCTTATGTCAAACGCTTTGGCTCACCGTTGCATAGCCGCAACCGCGGAGAAATTTGGAGCCAAACGACTAATGGCGTTTAGCTTGGGAGATACTCGCGTGATCGTCACGTGCAATCCCGACGTAGCTAAAGAGATTCTGTACAGTCCGGTTTTCGCTGACCGGCCGATTAAGGAATCAGCGTACTCCCTTATGTTTAACCGTGCTATTGGATTCGCTCCTTACGGCGTTTACTGGCGAACCTTGAGAAGAATCGCGTCTAATCATCTTTTCAGCCCGAAGCAGATCAAACGTTCCGAAACGCAGAGACGTGTGATCGCGAATCAGATCGTGAAGTGTCTCGCAAAACAGAGTAACACCGAGGGACTCTGTGCTCGTGATTTGATCAAAACGGCGTCGCTTAATAACATGATGTGCTCTGTTTTCGGGAAAGAATACGAGCTTGAGCATGAACACGATGAAGTGAGTGAGCTTCGTGGTTTGGTGGAAGAAGGTTATGATTTACTCGGAACACTTAACTGGACCGATCATCTCCCATGGCTGTCGGAATTTGATCCTCAGAGAATCCGGTCTAGATGCTGCAGTCTCGTACCAAAAGTAAACCGGTTCGTGAACCGTATTATCTCAGACCACCGTGATCAAATTCATGACTCGCCGAGTGACTTCGTTGACGTATTGCTCTCTCTTGATGGTCCGGATAAATTATCCGACCCGGATATCGTCGCCGTTCTTTGGGTAGGTACACGTGGATTTTTTTATCTAACTAGACAACAAAACACAAGAAATCATTTTTATTGTACTCTATGGAAAGTAACGATCTTTTCTTTTCCCCTTCTTCTCAACTATGAAGTTAATTAAAATAATGAAGATTAAATGCTATTCTAAGGGTTATAAAGTATTCGCATTTTGTGGGTTTTTAACAGGAAATGATATTCAGAGGAACTGACACGGTGGCTGTTTTGATCGAGTGGATTCTTGCTAGGATGGTCCTTCATCCAGATATTCAATCGATGGTTCACAATGAGCTTGACCAGATCGTGGGAAGATCAAGAGCCGTCGAAGAGTCTGACGTGGCGTCTTTAACATATCTGACGGCTGTGGTGAAAGAAGTCCTGAGGCTTCACCCGCCAGGCCCACTTCTATCATGGGCCCGCTTAGCAATCACAGATACGACCATCGACGGTCGTCGTGTTCCCGCGGGGACAACCGCAATGGTGAACATGTGGGCCATAGCGCACGATCCACACGTGTGGGAAGATCCGTTGGAGTTTAAACCCGAACGGTTTGTAACGAAGGAAGGTGGGTTTGAATTCTCGGTTCTTGGGTCGGATATGAGGCTTGCACCGTTTGGGTCGGGTCGTCGGGTATGCCCCGGGAAGAATCTGGGTTTGACCACCGTTACGTATTGGATCGCGACGCTTTTGCACGAGTTCGAATGGCTTGCACCGTCGTCCGATGAGAAGACCGTTGACTTGTCCGAGAAACTGAGGCTCTCGTGTGAGATGGCTAATCCTCTTGCTGCTAAATTGCGCTGCAGGCGCAGTTTAAGCGTATGATAAGATTATACACTAAAGGAAAAAGAAAAAATAGTGTGCGAGTGTGAGAGGCAGTAAAGAAAAAAAAGGCTATGAAGCTTTTATATAATTAACACTAACATCTTGATACGCGACGTGTTTGCTGGTGTGTGCCCGAGTGATGTATTTGTAAATATAATGAAAAACATTATTTAATACTATGTGACGAACAAAAAAAGGGTAATACTACAGTTGTGGTTTTATTTTGCTTAATGAAACCTAATTAATATTATGGATTACTAGCTCCGCTATTCTGGGAAACGATCTTTGCTTGAACACGATGTGACGAATAAAGCCCCGGTTACATGCAAGAATAATATATCACTCTTTCATTCACTGATCAGAAAAATAATCGTGAATAATGTAGTTATTAATTCTTATTCCGACAAGAAAAGTAACAAGAAATAGGTGGTAAACTCAATAGGCTATATCAGTTCATCATCATGAAATGATTTCACACGCACACATACACACATATACATGTATATACACACATAATTTCGGGGAAACAAATAAAATCCCATCCTTAAATTTTCAAAATATCGACCGACAATCTTAGTGAAAATAAATATTTGGTTACAAAATTTACCAAATAAATGTTAGAGGTTGTTTTCACAAAATATAGTATAAAAGATTCGTCTTTATAAAAGTTGCAGATTTGACATACGCTGTCCCTTGTTGCTGTCTTTTTTGCTGTTGTGATGTATATACTAATGTTCTCTTGTTACATTACAAAAACTATAAAACGCTTGTATAGATATTACTTACCTGAAAGTATAAATACTATAAATAAATATATATATGACTAAAATTTATATGTTTTATGTGTATTGTAATTCAATTTTTGTTTGTTTTTACTTATTTCTTTATCATTCATATATAACAATTTGATTCATAATAAAATGCTCTGTTTCATATGACATACAGCACCTCTCGACCCTAAATTACTAGAACATAGTTTTTCCGTTCGGTGCTACGCAAGTGCACGATCCTTTGCAAGCAATCATTCAGGAGGTTACATCTCAATTACAAAAACTGATAGCACTCATCCTCTAACCATGTATCTTATATAGATTCTACATTACGCCAATGGTGGATCTAGGAGCTTATTTAGCTGGGGACACATAACCTTTTTGTATTATGGTTAATTTCATCGATCAAACAGAGACTATCATTACTTTTACTAGTCGCTTACTAAAACTGGAAAAAAATGATAAAATAATAGTATGATATATTGACTATAAAGACTTTCGAAGTGTGTGGTCGAACATAAAAATACCTACAACTAGAGTTATCGTGTTTATATTAATATTATATAAAAAGATTGTCACACATGAATTATTAAAGAGTGATGGTATTTTTGATCCAATGAGGGGCACGCACATTAAGCATTAATTGGGAAAGAACAAAATATGACAAGATTTGAATGAATTGTGGTCTAATCATATACATTGAGAGATCATATACAAGATTTTATGGTCGAAGCATCTTCATTATGGCGTCATCTATGTTTATCAAGATTAAATAAGACTTACATCAATTTTCGTTACTTCGACGATTCAAACACTAGTAAACTATCTTACATTAAGGTTGGTTGAAATCGACCAAAAATGCTAACTGTAAAAAAAATTACTAACTAGCTGTTTTAACAAAAATGATAATTCATATTTATCCAATTTATCATATACTTTCTACGTTTCATAATAAGTGTCATTTGAAGAAAATGTATATGCATTGTAATTGGATGTATCTGGATGTATTTTGAGTTTAATACATCCAGATAAATTATAGATACATTTTCTCCAAATGACACTTGCATTGTAATTGGATGTATTTGAATGTATTTTGAATTTAATACATCCAGATACATTGCAGATACAAGTAAATCTAAAAGTAACGGAGGTGTTTATCAATTAAAATTTACACAATTCATAAAGTAAAAAAATGCATAACATAACAATAAAATGATTGTAAGAAAATAATGCCCATATAAGTACTACAAGGCCTAAATTATTCTTGTATAACCATTTTGATATCCGAATTATTAGCCCACCAAGTGTATACAACAAGAAAACAAATTATTTATTTGTATCATAATGATGAATGTGGGCTTGGACAAGAGTTGATAAACAATTTAGGCCTTATATAACCGTAAGCACTATTACAACTTTAAACATGGGTTAGAGTTGACAGAGTATTATTTATCACAATCCGTATTCGTTTTAGTAGTTTCTTAAACTTTTGTTATTGGTTAAGTTGATCGAGCTGTTGTAGCCATTTTATTGTATTAGAAAACTCTGAAAACCCATGGGTGAGAGTATTACTGAATCATATACAGTCAACCATTATTTAACCTTTCACTCTAATTGCATGATTTTTACAATTCACCGTTTTTAAAAAAAAGCTGCAGAAAGATTTGCATATATATATATATATCCAGACTCATATACAAATCCAAAATATTATGATCTAAGGCCATTTAGTGAACTCAAACACCTTAAGAACGATATCAAGACCTGTTGGGATTTGCCAAATGAAAAGAAGAACATTGACACCATTCAACGCAATGTGTAGATTCCTCGCCGTCTCATTCCCTTTCTGCATTGCCGGCACTAAAGCTGCCGCCGCCGCCCAAAGCACCGTTATCCCTGCAAATACACCACCGTCAACTCCAATTTTGATCAGTTATGTAAACAAGAACACGGTTTCATATCTACTGATTCCAACCCGGATTTACGTTTTTCCAATCCAATTTTGGTTCCTAAACCATATCAAAACCGGATTGAGTAACCATTTCCACTCTTTCGCAAAATGTTCAAGAAGTACTACAATCTCAATCGTGGACTAAAATTAAAGAGAAGACCAAAAAAAAGGTCAGAGAGATTCGTTGATGGTATATACCTGCTCCGGCGTAAAGATGAGGACCGGGGAAGAGTTTACCGGTACGAAGATAAGTGTTAAGTCCGCCAAACACGGCTTCCAAAACCCCAAACCCTAACAAAGCAGAGCCTGCGTCAAAGTGTTTGTCTCTGTAAGAACCTTTGACCAACTCTTTCCTCTCTGCCGTGAGCCGCTGGATCTCAAGCTCCGTCGTAGAAGGAGGCGACGAGGAATCAACGGCCGTGGAACCATCGGGAGAGACAGGTGTTGGTTTGAGCTGTTTCTTGAGCTCGTTGATATCGCTTTGGATCGTACGGACACGTCTCCATTGCCAGCCTAAGTAACCAGCCCATAGAGTGTATGCGAATAAACCTCCCATCACAATTGGGTGTATTAACGCGAACGATCTTCCTTCCAATATCCCAAATTCGCCTCCAACTGCTGCTGCGTCCTTTTACAATTGAAATTTTTTAAAAATAAACGAACTTTGTTGAAATCAGATTGTGGGTTCTTCTTTTGAATGCGAAAGATTGAAACTTTTGACCATTGTCATCCTTTGAGTCACCAAATCGATTCTGATTCTTTGCAATGTGAAAAGTTTTTTGGGGGGAAAAGATGACACTTTTGATTACCTGTGCGTCGAGGAAGAAAGGCAATGCGGCGAGTGAGATAGGGAGAGATGATGATTTAAGGAGTTGGAGGGAGCTATGATTGGGATTGGAGGGTATCTCTGGGATTTTGCATGGCTGTGATTTGGAGATTGGTTTGAGAGAATTTAGGGTTTTAGGGTAATGGTTGCGAGGAAGAAGATGAAGTGTGGGGAGACAATGAAGTGTGTTCGCCATACTCTCTCTCTCGCTCTCGCTCTCTCCTGCTAAACTGTCACAGATTATGGCAAAAAAGAGTGAAGAAACAAGAGAAGGATCCTTAACCGTAGAAAAAACGAACCAAACAGATAAGAGAACTCCATGGAACTGCACACGTGTCACAATAGTAGACACCACATATAAAACAAAAAATTCTTTTTGAGTTTTTTTCTTCTTCTTTGCTATGAAAATCTACTAATTGAACATATACTTTCTGTTTCACAATATAAATTATTTTGGCTAAAAACACAAAAAAAAAATTTAAAATTAAAATATACTATTAAATATATAAATTAAATATAATTATTAAAAATTTATAAAATATAATTGGTTATTCAATATTTAACAAAATAAAAAGTATATAAAAAATATCAAAACAATTTCTATATATATTTTTTTAAAAAATTCTTAAACAACTAAAATTATAAAATAAAGAGAGTAGAAAACAAATCGTATACATAATGGTCTGAGATATGTCTGTCACTAAATTTTTGACAATGTTAGACAAACTTTCATGAAATACAGATACAGTAGTGTTGTGCGCAATGATACAACTATGCTAGTACATCAGAGACTAACCAAGATACATCTTTGGCCACTCCTTCTTCCTCCACATGATACCAACGGGGTTTCTCCTTCCTTTGATTGACATTGGCAACAATATGCTTATCTATCTTCAAACGTGAGATGATAGCATGAGCTTTTATTATGGATGTTGATGAATCTCCATCGCTTTTTCTATTCATCGGAGGGGCTAGGCTGATCTGTCCAAATGCAAACATTTGTTTCATTTGAAATGATAATTAAGAACATTGATTTTTTAATGTAGTCTAATTTTACAATATTTAGGAAAATGTTAATGATATATAGCAATATTTTTTTTCCAATTTCTCCAAAACATACACTAAAATGAGAAAAAAAGAATTGTATTTCACTGTCAAAATAAGCAAGAAGCATTGTTTCATTCTTTCGATTGCGCATAAACATTTTTTACAGAAAAAAAAAAAATCAGATGGAAAAGTAAATTTGGTTGCCAATGTTCTTTGTTTGATTAAAGTTTGATACTTCTTAGGAAAATTTTAACTTGTTAAAACGTCATTGGATAGTGCTATAAGACCAGCTTATTCTCCCATCATAATATATAGTAAGGGCAGAAGCCTATTTTATTGATCAATGTTAGCTTTTCAGCATAGTTCTGTAAATTCTCTTTTGATTCAAATAATAACTTTGCTCCTTCCTCCATTTTATATTTTCCTGAATTCCACCAAACTTTGTGAAGGGCCAAAATGTCAATATTTTGGATGATTGGATCTGTCCTCACCAAGATATGTGACAAGTTTCTAATTCCTTTTTTTTGGTAATGTGTTGGAGACCAAGGTCTCCAGTTTTATTAAACTGAAACGCGACTACAACCGTACATATCGGGATCCCGTGATCCCTCGTGCATCGTCTGCGATAATTGAATAAATTTCTTCAGGAGGATTTTCTAACAAATGAAAACCTAACGGTAAATGAAATGCGTGGTTTGCTATCCCATCCGCGAGTTTATTGCCCTCACGATAGACATGGGAAACCCGAACCAACCAATCTCTTGTGAAGAAGCCATGGCACAATCGTACCAGGAATGATAGAGGGTGAAAATCCCTAATCCTCTCCGTCAGAAACGCCACCACTATCGCAGAGTCCACTTCCAGCTCTAACCGTGTCACCTTCTGCTCCCATGCGACGTACAGCCCATAATACACTCCCCAGAGTTCAGTCAATGGTGCAGAGCAAATCCCAATGTTAAGTGCAAACCCTCCGTGCCAAGTGCCGTTCCCATCCCGCAAACACCCTCCTGCTGTCACCAATCCCGGATTACCTCGTGAGGCACCATCTGTGTTTAGCTTCATCCAGCTTCCCCTCGGTGGATGCCAAGAAATATGTCTTTCCACTCGCAGTCCCTCATGATTCTCCCTTCTTAGTTTCAGGTGGGCCTCTACTACCTCTTTAGTCTGATCTTTCACGAATCTCACTCGGTCTCTACACTTAGCAGTAGACCCGAAGACGTTATCACACCTCCATTTCCACCCCCACCAGACACCTACAGCAAAAAGAGAAGACCAAGGGCACCCTCCTATATCCGAGTGATCCCCTAAATTCTCATACATCCATTCGATCAAGGTATTGTTGAAAAACGTGTTTCGTTTTCTTGGTGGGACAACTCGTTGCCAGATCCCTTCCATCGCTGGGCAGTCTCTAAGTACATGAATAATAGTCTCTTCCCCTCCACGGCAGACTTGACACATGCTTGTGTTACTGAGATGCCTTCGTTGCCTTTCCGAGTTCGTCATTATAACTTGATTTACCACCAGCCATAGGAAGACCTTCACTCTCTCAGTCGCCACGACATACCAAACTCGGTCAAATAAACACTGTGAATTCTGTCCTAACGCCAGCTTCTTCGTTAAGAAAGAGTGTGCTGATTTCACCGTAAAGAAACCATATGTGCTTCCTCCCCAAGCAATTCTGTCCTTGGCTCCTGTTACATTATCCACGACCACCGCCATTAGTTGTAGCTTAACGTTATCAGAGATGTAAGGATTTATGTCTGGTAGCCACCATCCTACTCCATTTCTTCATAAATCGCACACCTTAGCTTCCACTAATCCTGTTGGGACCTTTGACTCCGCCATATCCAACAGGGAGCTGTTAAGCAACCATTTGTCCTGCCAAAAACTTATCTTCCGTCCATCCCCAAGTACCCATTTCAAGCCCGGGAATACCACGTCATTCAAACTCGCAACCACACTTCTCCATGTTGAGGATCCTCGGCTCTTTGGTTTCCGCCATACCAGATCATGAATGTCTCTCACTTTGTATTTACTCCGAAGTATTCTGGCCCATAAACTGGAATCATCTTTTAACAAGCGTCATCCCAACTTTGCTACCAATACTTTATTCATATCTCTTGCCATGCGTATCTCCAATCCCCTTTCCCTCTTGGGAACACAAATTTTCTTCCAGGCTAATTCCTGATTAGAAACAAAACAAGACCGAATGAAAACCATTTTTTTAAAAAAAAATCTCAATATCTCTTTTAAAACGATACAAATACATATATTTATATTTAAAATTAAAAAGATATTAAAAATAAATCAGTTCAAAATTGATTTAATACTATTACTTTTAATAAAATTCTAAAGATTTATTATATTTGTAATGGCAAATATTATAAATAATACGTCAAAGAAAGTTTAGTTCCATATAGTCATTCTAAATTAATAGAATAAATGTATGTTTTCCGTTAATATTTTTAGACGATTGAGAATTCCTCTTTATAACTTTTATATTAGAGTATATTGTTTGATACCGGCTAGTATTTAAATTCTGAGACAGGTCCTTTTATTCCTTCGATTTCTTTGGCCTGAAGATAACAGCTTTCTTCTATACTATTTTAAAAAAATATATAGTTGACTCGATGGATCCCCGTTGCGTTATGTTTTCTTGATTATTTTGAATAAAGCGACCATGCGCAGATAAATCTAGATTTGTTATAGAGACTACGAGAATATCGCGTTTGATTTTGTCTTAATTATTTAAATGTAATTAAGAGTATAATTCAAAGATAGTCAGTAATTAAATAAGCAAAACAACACAAACCCAATGAAAATATCATGCTTGGTTGGCGGGCACTATAAAGTGGGCATCTACTTCCGCATTTCAAGCCAGCTCCTAATCATCATGTGTTCATACCCACATTTCTATCCTTATAACATATACTTATGATACTATTCTGACAAAAGTATACGCAGTATATTGTTTGAAAATTGGTAAATATCTTCTGTTATATAGCAAGTGACGAATATATATGCAGCTTCCAACAATTTTATTATTTAGCTTTCCTAATTGAAAATAAGATAGACAAAGTGGGTTATGATTTCTTTTACTAATTAAATTGTTATTTTCGTGAAAATGTAAAGCTTCAAAAGAAATTAATGCGATATTTTAAGTAATATGACGTTTGAGATTAATTATATGAAAACTTACGTCTATTGTGTGTACCACTTTCCATGATATGAATTGACTGGTGTTTTATTTTTTTTTTCCAGCTAGATCATTGTTAATTAGCGGATTAGGTGGATGAACCGTGAAGGTACGGTTTTATTATTATTATTTTTTAAGATAGGAAAAAAAAATTGTCGAGTGGAATGTGACATTGCGGTAAATCTGGTAATAACGAGAATTCAAGGAACCGTGCCGTCGTCTCCGAATCTTAGTGGGTGTTTGCTTTACGAGATTCAATTACTAGTAGTATTAATTTAGAAAATGATGATTAATTAATATGACCAAACTTAGAGATCTACACATGCTACAATTATTATCTTAGTTAGTGTTACAAACGGCTTTTAGTTGGAGCAGGTTAACTTAGGTCTATAATTTGTTTTATTTATGTTTAGTATGTCAATTCCCAGGTTTAACCTCTTATTTTGAAACTATTAGTTCACAATTATCCATTCGGATTCTAAATAATTGTCCTTTCAGGACTTTTTTATTGTTCTTCTAATTAAAAAGGATCATTGTTGATCATTTTAATTCGTGTAAAAGCTTTCAAAATAGTACTCACATAAAAAGAGACATGCATTGCATAGTAATGAATTTACGTTAAAAGGGATAAAACATTGCTAAGTTCACGCACGGGCACAAAAGTCAAAAAAAGGTGAAGAGCTCTATAAGTATATTAGTGTCCCCAAAATGCGATGCTTTGGGATTTGATAATCATGACTATTCGTGGATAATGATTCCGATCGTATTTATTATTTTAATCACCCATTATTCGTGAAATATAAGTTTTGGGCTGCAAAATGGTATGATCATGACTAATTGACAACAAACAAACTATTGGAGAAAAACAGCGATTACACACCACTTTAAAGAAATTTAGTAGTACGTTTATCAGAATAGGCGCATTCTACAAATAATGAGCTGTTTAGTTTGTTTTTCCCCAACTATTTCCATGCTAATAAGTTATAAACTGAAAAACTTGAAAATATTTAGAAAAAATAATTATATTCACATACATCGTCGAGTTTTGGTTATATCATCGTAGATATATATTTTTTAATTTATATGTTAATGATCCACTATTCAAATCCGAATATAAACATCGAACGATATTCAATTATATTACGACAATTTTTTTCTCTGGATATATTTCAATACTTCCAAGTAATAATTTGAACTTTACATGAACGAAATTATATCTTCAATTAGATTTTGGCTCGATGGTTCCATACTTCCATGTACACATTAAGCTCACCCGTTGATGACTAAAAGTTGTATCAAACTTCAGGTTTACACAATATAAATATAAATTGGCTTATGATTAAAAATAAAGATTAATAAATTACATAAACACTTCTAGAAATTAAATAGAAGAAATGATGAATACAGATCTCATAGATTACACACAAAGCCCTCGTATTCACCTATTCTTCTACCCTCACATCCCTCACCATTCCTCGTGAACAAAGACCCTTTTGATACTATAAAATATATAAATTACCATCAAACCCAATTACGAAATATTTGTTTAAAAAAAAAAACCGAAAAGATGGAATAAAAAGACAATCTGTAAACTAAGTTCTGACAACTTTAACTAAAGTACCCCATGTGAGAAAAAACAAAAGATCATCAAAGTAAAAATATAATAGAATAAGGAGGTAAAAAGATGAAAAAGAGAAGAAAAGCTAATAAGTTCATGATCTCTTTTTAACCTTTTTTTCACCACGAAGATCCTCCTGTATTACTGAACATCCCACTCCAATATATATTATTACCCTGGTTCTTCTCCTGAGTTGTGCTTGAAAGTTCTTTCATATCTGAAAAAGGGAACAAAACCCTACTTGCTCCATTCATGTCAACAGCATGATTGTTATCTTCAGCACTCTGGTTACTGTTGATGGTGTTATGTCCAATCCCTTGATGATGATCAATGGAGAACGAAAGATTATTGTTACTCTGTTTGTAATCAGCCATTGTTGGAAACCCTAGTGATGAGTAAATGACTGAGTTTGAATCCATCATTTGACCAGGCAAGAACGTGTTCATGCCTCTTGAAGAGGCTCCATTGGATCTTAGAAGCTCGAGAGCTGAGACAGGAGATGATGAAGCATATATTGAGGATGAAGTATTGTTGTTCTCGATCTTGGGCATATGAAGAAAGTGAGACATACCATGATGATGATGATGATGATGATCTTGCATGACTGGAAAAGACAACAAGTTGAGATCTTTTGCCGACTTATTAGGGATTTGGCCTGAGAAAAGAATCGGTGGGTTTAGATCTGGAAGCTTGGGATTGGAAGTTGAAGTTAAAGGTGTTGAGGATCTCTTGTTCTTTCTTGAGCTGCCTCCGACAGGGACGTTACGAAGAGAGCCACCTTCGGTCCAATACCTTCGACAACCTTTACAGAAGTATCTTGGTTGCGTGAGACTGTAGTTGTTGTAATAACAGAACTTTGTGTTCGTTGAGTTACATCTTGGGCAGTTTACTTTCTCTTGCGGCCTTGCCTTTCTACTTTCCATCGTAGTAGCCGTGTTATTGTTATTTCCGACGCCGGATCCGCCGTTGGATGCGATGGTGTTTGGCCTTGTTGTGCTGGCGGTGAATGTTTGTTGTTGTTGTTGCGATGTGTTGTTGTTGGTGTTTGAAATCATTTGCTCCATTGGTTTTACGTTTATCATTTCTTGAAAACCCTACAATAATTCAGATAAGGTTTAACTAATCTGACCATGTTTCAAATAGAACAATAACAATTGCAAACCGAGTCTTGGATCTCTCCAAGATTACGGTTTAGTGAGATCAATTAAAATATAAGTAATAAATAATTAAGCTCAACTGAAAGGAATGAAAAACTAGGGTTTTTTGTGGTTCTATCGTCGGTGCGTCAAACGAACATTTATTAGAGAAAGGAGACTAAACAACAAATTAGAATAAAATTAGTAAGACCTGAGCACCAAGAACAAAAGGTAAATAACAAATCATACCTTTTTATATCCATAAGTTATGAAAATCTATAATTAATCACATAAAAGTTGAACTTATAGACAACAAAAGTTTCTTTAACTCTCCTTTCGAGAATTTCGAAAGTTTCGAAACGGATAATTTCCCATGCAAATAATCATATATAAAAAAACATATTCAAATAAAAACCCATACATATATACATACAACCAGAACCACAAGAAGCATCATAAGAACACTTTTTTCCATACATACATATGCATACATGTACATATATATTTGATAGAGATATAGAGAGAGAGAGATAAAGAGAGAGAGGGAAAGAGTTAGATAAGAAGAAACAAACAGATATAGCAAAGAGAGATCTTTTTGACGTACCTGCGTCCATTTCGTAGCATCCATGAACTTTGACAAAGAGAAAGGCAGAGAGAGAGAGAATGTTTTGGAGATAAAATTTTTTGGACTTTTGCTTTTTTGGGGACGATATGGCTCTCTATGCGTTAGCTTTCACTTTATGGATGATGAAAGAAAGCAGCTAAGAGGAAGAAGAAGAAGAAGAGAAGAAACCTGCAAAAATAAAATATAAATTTTATATCAAAAAGCAAAAGGAGGGTTTGTTGTTTTTGACTAGTGATAATAATGTCTCATGGCCTCCCTCTCTAGTTCTTTTCTGGTCCCTCTTTTATATATATTTTTACAGAAAACAAAAAAACTCTGGCTAAAAACTTGTTCAAATTCAAGTAAATTCATTTAATTGGTTGGCTCAGTAATATTAGTGATTATATATTTAGATATGGAGTTCAAATTCAAGTAAATTCATTTACATATATTTGTTACCATTATATAATATCGATGCAAAAATGTGAATGTGCTATATATATCTTTATATTCAGGTTGATTACTCTTATTTCATATATCGTAATAATACAAAGCGTGAGTGGAATAATGAGTTGTATACTATTCCCCGCCCACCCGTTTTGTGATTTTATATTATTTGTTGGCTTACGATCCGTCAATTGCTTTTTCAATTTCAAAATTCTTATACCATGACTACATGCATCTATAAATATCATAATCACTCTATTTGTAATGTATTAATTATGTGTAGATTAGGTTACGAAATTCGGTGGATCCTAATTACATGATTAAATCATAACAAAGTTGTGACTCAACATGGTCGAAAACACATGGTTTTTTCGTTTCTGGCTTTTTTATAAAGTACTATATATATGTTGACTGTATTTAGGGAATATGGATTATTCTTCGGACGTAATAAAACTTTATTTTACTTATTATTTATTTCGACGAAGAAAGGGGGCACCAAATTTCCACCCTTTATTTCAATTGTGATCTGCTTTTCGTAAAAGGACCATTATATATTACACCACACATGGCTATATAAAGTAATTATGATTTTATTCTTAAATTGGTAAAGCTATATAACAAATGTCGCGTTAATCAGACAATTAAAACAAAAGTTTGTAAAAAGCACATAAACTGAAAATCGAGGGACGGAAAAAAGAAACCAAATAAGCTTTTCAAACAAACAATACTGCACGAGTTGTAATGTTATATGTATATCTCACTTTTGGGTTTATGAATAATCATTTTAAGAATATTAAATCACGTGTTAGTAAATTATTTTGTAGTCAAATAGTCGTTGCGGACTCAATTAAACCATAATAGTTACTCGGGCATCACAGCTTAATCGTTTTCATTTGATACAAAAAAATATCTAACATTTTGGATATGTTGCTTAATAGAAAACAAATTTGGTTATTCAGAAGATGAGGGTTTGAAAATAATTAGAGAAGGACCGACAGGAAGCGACAAAAAGGAAGTGGTAGGCCCCACTTTTGGGGCGTGATTGAAATATTTAGCTTTTTCTCAAATCTAAGGACTGTTTTTCTGACGTTGACACCTGTTTCGTAATCGTAGCCAAACACTCTCTCCCATACAATCCTCCCTCTCCATCTCTCGTGTCGTTTTGTGCTGCTAGCTTCACCTTGCCTGCCGTTTTTATCCAGTTTAAAACGACCTACCGCGTCCACGTGTTCTTAAGCTCAACAAAACCTGACCCATTATAGTATTCAGCCCATAAGTTTTATTGGGCTTAAGAACATATTATATATATATTATTACGTTGGTATATTTTAATCTTAACTTTTTTTGATTGGTCCGAATATATTTTCATATTTTGTTGTTTTGACTTCCAAACTATTTTTGGAATTACCGACTTGAAATTCAGATGTGTATATGGGATATTAAACTTCAAAATTGTAGCCACCGAATTTCGACTTTTTAAGAAAAAGAAATTGATTGGACCGCTTTGATGTAATGATGACCGCATCTGAAAGAATCACATCGTAGCCACTAATTATGCATTATTTGTCCATTCAATAATGGCCCACAACACTTTATCGCAACATGCCATCTTCCATAAGAAATCATATATCTATTGAGAGCATACATTCGAATCCAGCTCGATCATATAATCAACTAACTCGATAATTCTATAATTGTTTTTTATTGGGCCAGTATGTTAGGCCTATAAAAGCCCAGATAAGTATTTGCTCTAGAACAAGTTCACGACCACTCTGGTGACAATGTATGAAACACACACCTCCCTTTCAAAAGCCTTCTTTTTTCAGCTTCTTCTTCTTCCATGGAACTTCCTGCAAAAAGAACCAATGAAGGTGCAAACATGGATGGATATGTGACATCTGATTGTCTTTTTTCTGATAAGACAGGGTAACATTTTGAGACATAGAAAGAAATTCAAAAGGTTACTTTACCCAGAAGTAACACCTAGACCTAGTGATGTCATAAAGACAATTGAGACCTCCCGTTCCGACCACATCATCGTTTATCTCTTTCTTCCACCGGAACCACCGTTTCAACCCGGCGAGATGATGATGATGATCTCAAGCAAGGGGCATTTTGGTAAATTTAAGAGGAAGGAGCAGCCTCGGAGGCAAATGAAGACGCTTGGAGTAAGGAGGAGCTCGAAGAGCATGGTGGTGTTTAGGCTTGCCAGGTTCTTCTTCCCAGGAGAAAGGAACCGAAGCGCGAGAGTGTGATAAATCATCAGGGGACGACAAGAGTGACAGTGACACGTGGTGGCTTATAACTGGCGATGACGTGTGCTGTGGCTTTCTTGATTTTTGAAGTTTCGATGTGATGATCACCTCCTCATCATCATCGCCTTGGTCTTCTTTGGTAGATATATCTTTCTTGTTGCTGCTTATGATCATTTTGGGAGAGTGGAGAGGGAAAATTGAAGAAGACGACAATGGATTAAATAATATGTAATTGTTACTTTGTCATTGAAGTTTGGTTACTACAATTCTTTAAACTAAAAGTCAAACCACACTCTTCTGTTGAAGAAAATCAGTCAGGATAAATCCCACCTACAACTACAACATCGCTCGTGTTAATTTTGTTTTCTGTCACTTATTAAATTTGTAGCTTTAGCTATCTCTATATATATTATGGGTTTTTTTTTAATGGAATACATTTTGCGTAGTAATATTATTTCAGTATGGGGAGTAATAATATTTTATTTGTTTTTTTCGTTTTTTTTATTTGCTTGACTAAATCGCATCAGCAGATTTTGAAATCCTTCATAATGTAAATATAACAGAAAAAATATAGACAATTAAACAAAATATTTTTAACATCTATGTGATTTTGATCAACAGCAATTTTTTATTTTTTTCGTGTTTAGCTTTATTTTAGCTCAGCTTTATTGAATTTTTCATGTCAATTTAAAATGCCCTAGATAAAAAAAAAATAACGAATGACTTTACCAATTGAAAAAATCTACTTCCTATAATAAGTTGTAGTCACAAAAAAATCTCTGACGTCGTTGACTACTTGACTTTCCAAGAATAGATCTTCATATTATGGACACCGCCTCGATTTCCACGCCCTCAACGGAAATTAGTATTATTTAGATTAATTTGAGTTGGTTAGTGTTGTCGATAATTATATATGATTAGACTCCCATCTTTGCACCCATAACTAATTGAATTGATGTACTTGGTTTTTGAAAATTGAATGGTTATGCACCCATAAACCACTGTCCCAAACCGAAATATTTAATCGCCAACTTGACAATTGACAAGAAAAAAGAAAACTAAGGCCCAAGACCCATGAGATTCCTTTATGTACACAGTTTGAAAATCTTTTTTTTAAAGACACTTACGACCAAAGTCACTAAAACGACGTCGCCGAATAACCTTAATTTATAGCTAAACTCTCACACCTAATACGATTATATATCATCAATCCATACTTTCTTCATACTCAAACGACGAAGAAGAAACCTTCATCTTCGTTGTCATTCTCTTAACCTCATCGCTCGAATATATAAATATCTTCTTCGCCATCTTGCAAAACTCACTGCACAATTCCAGAGACAAACAAGAGAACATGTTTCAATAATGCATCATTAGAGGAATGCATTAATATCATAGTTTAAACCAGTTCAGGGTAATTGATTTGAGCTAAACCGGAAAATGGTTTACGACTCATGTGATTTATGACTTACTTCCACGGATCATCTCCAGCAAGCATCATATCTCCTTCATCATCCGTGAAGACAACTATCCATTTGTCTCGAGAGAGAAGCTGTCCTTGGATCTCAAACATCTCCTCAAGCTCCTTGATCAACTCTTCATATGATTTCAACAGCGTTAAATCAACCGCACGACCAACAGCAATCCCTTGCATTTGCACCTTTCAATCAAAATTCAAGAAAATCAGATTTTCAGAAAACATTGTTATACAACTGCAATATGAGTTTTAAAAGATGATTACTTTGGTTCGAGTCCTCGATGTTAGTTGCTTCTTCTGCTCATTAGTTGCGCTTGGAGTGATGGGTTCTTGACACTTGGCAGCTCCAGAAGTATCGATCAGTTGCTTGTCCTGAGGAATTGGAGCAGGAGGATTGCTGGTGAGATCAAATCCAAACAACCTATAGCAACAACTCGCGGGAGGAGTCATCTCAGCTTTAAAGCTGCTGTTGTTTGTGGCGAATCCTCCAGGATTTCTCTCAGTTGATGGATCTTGAAACAGTTTAAGGGATGCGTTGGTGGGATCTTGGCTCTGAGGGAAGCTGCGCAAGAAACTAGCTGGAGCTGGAGTCAAAACCGACGATTCGATGGGTCTTGACCGCTTGCATTTCGGTTGTGATTGCTGAGCAGGTGTTGAAACTGGGGAAGTTGACAAGAAAGGCTCAATCTCCCAAGCTGAGACTTTGTCTGGTCTCTGAACTGTTGTTGGCTCATCCCATTGGACCTAACAACGAGGTAGAAAGAACGTTTGATGAGGATCACTTTAACAAGCAGAACCGGTAAAATGAAAGAGAACTGAATTGTTAACTGAACCTGCAATGATCTCCATTTCGAAGCTGGCCATTGTGAAGATAGATCTCCAGTTCCCACAACCGTACCCGTAAATCTGAAGAAACTCAACGCTTGAGAATCAAGAACACTGAACTAATGATCAGAAAAAGGAAAAAAAAAAAAGGGATCTTACATCCTCTCAGGAGACTCTTCTCCTTCGAATCTCATCCTGAATCGGGTACCAAGAGAAAACCCATGCTTCATAGCTTCCATATACTTGTTCACTCCTACTATGAATTGGCTTATCCTGATAAGACAGAAAACTTTCTTAAAACCATCTATGTGAAATGCAGAATCATCTAAGGACACAAGAAGCGATATACGTACCTAGGCTTGTAAAACACAACAAAGAGTGTTTTCGTACGCACAGCATGAGAAGCTGTAGCAAGAACCCCCAAATGCATGCTCTGACTCGAGAGAACCGAAGTAGGCATCGTGCTCTGATGCCGAGCTAAACGCCTCACTCCAACTCGTAAATCCCCATCCTCACCCCTAAAAACCACCAACCCATTTCATGAATTTCTATAAAAGTAAATCCAGACCACCAGTAAAGTTTCCAGAAGAAGTAGTACCTCAAGAACACAAAAGCATCTCCAGCTACAAGTCTTTTCGAGGATACAAATGTACTCCAACCCGTTGTAAGCAAATGCCTCCTAGGTTGTCCTAAACCAAAAACAACTCTCATGAGATGACTCATATAGTCCAAACACAGTTGCATAGAACTCAAATATATTCCAAGATTAAGTGTCAATACCTCTGAATATATGCTTAAACCTCCATTCAAACCCATGAAGATCTCTAGTCACAAGTTCTTGAGTAGGAGTAGCTTGTGTCATGTCCTAAAAAGTGCTATTGGAGTGAGAACTCAAATTAAAATTTCTACAATTGAGAAGACATTTGAAGGAAATTACTACCAATGCAGGCAAGCATTCAGTGGCGTGTTTACGAAGTACAGAGAATCCACCATGAGTGCTTGTATCTGAAGCCGTTAGAATCTTAACAAACGAATGGAATATTTGTTTTGTTGGTTCAACGAGAGGTGGATCAAGACTTGTGGGTTCACTTTGCTGCAAAAATAATTCAAAATCACTTTCATCATATAACAATTCTCAGGGAAAATGTATTTTTTCCTGCTTATCAAACTTTAAGAACTTTTTTTTTTTTTTTGTAACTTTAAGAACTTACATCTTCCTCTGGTTGTAATGTGATCTGAGCGTAGACTTCATCTGTTTCATGCTCCGCCTATACATCGAAACATGAATATTTTATACAGATTCAGGGGAAATTACAAAGAGGGAGAGAAACAAGAATCAAGATCAAAATTTCACCTTTAACATAACACTGAGAACTCGACAAAGTATCTTGGGAGGAAGATTAAAAACAGGTATTTCTTCTGATTCAATTCCCTGATTAGTTGAGGCCACAAGCTGCAAAACCCAGAAGAAAAAAAAACCCAGAATTCAAAAAGAGAAAGGGACAAGAAAAAACATAAAAAAGGTAAGGAAATTAAATTTCGTGTATATACTTGTTCCATGTGACCCTGAGGGAAGTAGAAAACTCTCTCTTCCGCAAGAGGAAGCTCCACTAATGGACCTGCACAAGCTTTCCAGAGCTCTGTGTATAGCTGATCCTGATAAGACCCTAAAATCAAACAAACAATAAACCCTAACAGTCACATTTCAGCAGCACAACAAGGAAAAAGAAATGCAAACTTCGAAGATGTAAGAGATGGGTTTTTTTTTTGTTAAGCTCATTTCTCGAGAAAATGAAGGAAAGATTGAAACTTTACGAAGCTGATTTAGATTCTACAGAGCAACCAAACAGAGTCACTGGTTGGGACCAACAAAAAAAAAAAATTGAAACTTTTTTTCTAAAGTTCTCTAATCTCTGCCTCTTACTCACTTGACGGAGAGCTTCTGAAGCCATCCCCATCTACATACGCCATTGAAGAACCCAGATGAAAACAAGAGAAGAAGAGAAAGAAGAGGAGGAGAGAAAATAAACTATAAAATCCCCTTCACGCGCTAAACACTACTCTTAACCCCATGAGAGAAACACGAGAGAGAAGAAAGAAAAGACCCATCAAAGGAGGAAATAAAAGCAAAAACTTTTCCCTTCTTTTTTAACAGGACACAACGGACGGTTATGTCCGTATTGATTACAGAGCGTAATTCAAGCACTGTTGGATAAATCTCTCTCTTTTTCCCCGATTTTTTTTTTTTTGCTTCAGCCACGAAACCGATCCTCTCTCTCCCTCTCTCCTCAAATCTTTTTTTTTTTGTCTTCTCCTCTCCTCTGAGATTCCGTGTTGTTTCACCTCAACAATCACAAACTTCTCGCCGTTTTTTCCAGCTTTGCTTACTTCTCCATACCTAACCCCGATCTGCAGCAAACCAAAGCTGCTTCCTTTTTTGAAGAAGTCTCACGGTATCATGCAGAGATTCACACTCTTTCTCTCTCTCTCTCTATCTATATGTCTGTATATATATACGAGACTCTATATATATACTTCTCTTTATTAGTTCAGATTCTGGAGACCTGTCATTTCCACCCCCAGTAACTTCAGTTGAAGCTCCAATTACTTTACATATTCATTTATTGAAATTTTCTACAATTGTAAATTTTTTGATTTGTCATGTCACCGCTAAAAAGGAAACTGAATTTTTGTTTCCAAGGAAATAAATTTAAGGCTGCACAAAATATATTAAAAGGCAAACGAAGGGTCACGACGTTACATAGTAGTATTACGGACCTGCTTTTGACATCGCAACTATATAACCACGATCAATTGATTTTAACCGTGGTTAAATTTACATTTTCTAAGAACGTACGGTGCATTAAACGAA